TTTACTATAGAAACTAGTTATTTTGTGGTATTGACCATTTTTTTGCAAAACTCGCACCTGAACTCAGCGAAAAATTCGCTTATGTTCCAAAAAATAAAAAAATTGAGGTTAGAAAAAAATAGTTATATTTTGAACTAATTCACACTTTTTTGTAAAGAATTAGTCTCTACCATATTCAAAATGGTTCTATTTTTTTTCTCAATCGCCAAATGTCGATTCGCATGGCTGCAAGCACTTTTAATATGCCAATGCAAGGGCGTAGATAAGGGGGTGGTAATGGGGGTAATTACCCCCCCCCAAGCTAGTCAACATCAATATTTTTTAAACGTTATATTAAAAAAAATAGAGAGATAAAATAAATACAATAAAAAAAAGAGTTTCTCAAACAATGGGGTCTATTCTGTAACAATTCCTTTATATTTAACGGCCTTTAAAAATATTTTCTTCTTTACTTCTGTCATTATTTAAACGGATCTTTAAAAGACATTAGAGTACTATCTTAAAGAAATCTGTTTAAATAATGACAGAAGTAAATTAACGAATACAAATATACTTTTAAAGGCCGCTAATATTTTTAAAGGCCGTTAAATATAAAGGAATTTTTACAGAATAGACCCCATAATCATCTAAAACAATAATATTCCTGCAAATTATATACAGGGACCAATTAGTGCGAAATTGTTCAATATTTTAATTTGTGTTATTGACAAGCAAACAAGTTTTAAAAAAAGTTATATGGATTTGAAAAATAAATATTTTAAAAATATTTTTGGATATACAGTGTGTTGCGTTTTTGGCTGACAAATAACAATGTATGTTTTTTAAATTGAACACCCAATATTTTATTTTATTTTTAGAATGGCTTGGGAATACTGTATTTAACCCTAGAATGTTTTTAAAAAATAATACAGTGTTGTCAAACAATTAATTTTTTTTTTGTTTTTAATTAGAGAACGGTGCAGACCCCAAATTAAATTAACATAATTTAGGTAGGTTTACATTAATTTCAATTTAATATACAGACATAAAATCCTAAGCTAACGAATAGAGGTGATACAACTGGTTTATTCTATATAGAGTGTTTTGAAACAAGTCTTAAATATGGCTAATTTTAAGTTCAATTCACTCAATTTTTTCAAACGCAACACACTGTATATTATCTTGGCATAACATTCCCTATAAATTTGCCTATGTAACATTACCAATGTGTTAGTCAATAACACATATACAGGGTGTCCCAACAGTGCATAATTGGTCGATAGCTGTTTTATTATTAGAAATACGAAGAAATGTTTAATATAAAAGTTGTATAACCATATTTAACAAATATTCTTAAATATACAGGGTGGTCCATAAAGGAGGTGTTGACCAAATCTATACTTTTTTAAAGCAAAACATCCTGCAGGTAGTAATAAATATTGATTGTTTTTACATCGTCAAACAATTTTAATTGACTTCATTCATTTGCTGTGTTGTATATAGGGTGTGTCAAAACGTGAGGTTACGATTTTCTCAATTTTTTAAATGTAATACCCTGTATTAATTAATTGGTGGTATGACATATAGGGTATTCCATTTAAAAAAATAAGAAAATCGTTACTCCTCATTTTGAAACACTTTATATACAACATAGCAAATAAATGAAGTCCATTAAAGTTGTTTGACGATGTGAAACTAAATATAAAAATGTATAAGTTTGGTCAGCCTCTCGTTTATGGACCACTTTGTATATTTAAGAATTTTTATTAAACATGGTCGTACAACTTTTATATTAATTTGTTTTTCCTATTTCCAATAATAAAACAGCTATCGATCAATTACGCACTATTAGGACATTTATAAGGAATTTTATGTGAAAATAATATACAGTGTGTTGCATTTGACAAAATTGAGTAAATTATTTAAAATTATTTAATATTTAAGACATGTTTCAAAACACTGTATAAAATAAATCAGTTCTATAACCTCGGAAATGGAATGGTCTACAAAGATCAACCAGAAGTCCCTTTTTTGTGACAAATGGCGTGAGAAATATTTAATAATCTTAAGTTTTATGAAAGTAGGGTGTTCAAAAAGTTTTGAATAAAATTGTTTCTTTAGCCCTTCATTCTACGCCAATTGGTTACGGTAATTTATCGAAATAGCGTGTTAACTAATAACAACGATTAACTATCATATACATATTTTTAAGTTTTTACTGTAAGGGAAGATATTTAGAAAATATGTTTTTATGAAATTGACTTTATCACCCTGTAGAATGAAAACTGGGATGTTTATAGGAAAATTATATTTAGCTTTTCTTTATAATTGATTAAGATCTACGAACCCCTAAAATTATGATACTTTATTCTGAAACACCCTGTATAAATATATAAAAAATTAAAAACTTCATTATAAAACTTTTTCTGGAAATACACATAATATGAACTCTAGACGTTGCATTGGTACTATATTCTAAGATAACACGCTGCGCATTCACCAATAATGTGGGAAGTGTTAACCAACCCCCCCCCCCCCCTCCCAAGAAAACAACCTAGCTACGCGCTTGTGCCAAAGTCAACTCTTTTTGACCAACTTGTAAAAACAAAGCAAAAGAAAAATTTGACTGATTCGAGAAATGAAAGTAGTAGCAGATGAGAATGAATCTTCTTTATCGAAGTACGCCACCCGTCAAATATTCTCTCCAGGAGAAGAAAAGCAGTTGGAACTTTACCTAAAACAATCTTCAAAAATATTTTCTGGGCTGACTTACAGGTCTACGTGGCAGTTGGCATATGAATATAGAAAACTCCAGATACTTAGAACGAAAATAATATGACTGGGATGGAGTGGATGCGATCATTCATGAGCCGTCACCTGAGACTTTCCTACCGCAAGCCAGAAAATACCAGCATTGCACGAGCAGTAGCTTTCAACAAAGCCAATTTGCTTCGTTTTTTAAGAATTATGCAGAAGTTCAAGCAAAATATAATTTTCCCCCTAATCGCATTTGGAATACCGACGAAACTGGAGTCACAACCGTTCTTCAGGCTCCTAAAGTTATTGCCGAAATAGGGACAAAAGGAATGGGCCAATGCATTTCAGCTGAAAGGGGCGTATTAGTTACAATGCGTTGCTTCTTTCTGCTGTGGAAAATACAATTCCTCCAGCATATGTATTCCCTCGTGTACGTATGAAAGAGCAGTTTATGTATGGTTCAGTTCCTGGGGCAAGAAGTCGGGGTGCGGATGTCTTCAAAAAATTTCTTTAGTTATTGGAGCATATTCAAAAACATACTGGTTGTGTTCAAGCAAATCCAGTTCTTCTGTTGTTCGATAACCACGAAACACACACATCACTCGAGGCCATAGACTATTCTCGTGAGAATGATATAGTCTTACTATCATTTCCACCTCATTGCACCTACAAGATGCAACCCCTTGACAGAAGCATTTACGGGCCATTTAAGAACAGATGTAAGGCTGCTTTTATCGACTTTATCATTTCAAATCCTGGAAAACCAATTGGAATTTATGGCATCGCTAAACTCACTGCATATCCTTATTTGCAAAGTTTAACACCTAAAAACAATATAAACAGCTACCTACTCCAGTACTGGCTTGTGGCCTATTAATTCCATGATTTTTAATGATGACGATTTCATGGGGTCTTTCGCCACAGATCGGGCGGTTCCTGAAATAAGAATGAAAGAGTGTGAACTGCCATCAACTTCTATTACATCGAACAACTCTTTTACTCCGTCCATCAGCATGAGCACTAGCAATGTGACTGATTCTGAAATTGACGAAGTAACCATTACGATAAGAACTATGTTGAATGACATATTAAAACGCGTTACAAATCAGAAAATTAAAATATTATCCATCGACAACATTAGATCATTACCAAAGGCAGTCCCCAGAAAAACAAATGGAAAGTCTCGACTAGGTAAATCCAGAATGTATACAAGCACACCGGAGAAGGAAAGAATTCAAGAATTGGAAACAATGAGAAAACAAAAGTTGGAGAAAAAAAGCACAAAAAAAGTATTACAAAGCGAATGTGAAGTGAAGAAAAAATAAAAGTTGAAGAGAAATGCATACGGAATGCACCACAGATTCTGATGTGAATTTACCACAGAATGTTGTTCATGTCATGTTCAATTTTTTTTTGATGATCTGTCCGATTCTCTGGACGAGTTTCAAGATAATGACGATGTGCTAATGCTATTGGATGATGACGTAATCCATCGTAATGATTATTTGCTTGTCAAATACCCTACCAACAAAAGGACACTTTATTACATCGGTAGAGTGGAATCTTGCAATGATGATAAATCTTTCGTCTTAAAGTTTTTGAGAAAGTATAAAAGGGTTTCCGCTTTCCGGACTTGCAAGATATTTCGACTGTTTACAGAAAAGATATAGTTTCGAAAATACCTAATCCCGAGGCAACACCAGGAACTTCCAAGATGTGTTCGCTCTTCAAATTTAATGTGAATTTTGATGGTTATAACGTTCAATGAACTTTTTCTAATATACAGTCTTTTATTTTCTTAAAAATAAATAAGTTCTGAATTTTGTTAGACTTCTCCGAATGTAGATTCGGACAAATGCATATTTTTCGGAAAAATGTAAATGAACGGAAACCACTGCATTTCTTTGCTTGAGATGATGCCAAAATATTGAAAATACACTAAGGTATCCGTAGACCTAAATTAGGTCCAAAAATTTCTCTTAACTTTGAAATAATATTGTTTGAAAAAACGTGTCTGAACCTGCCACACCTTACCCTACTACCCATTTTAAGACGCTTTTGACATTTGTTTCAATCGTAGAGGGCTGTAAAATAAACATAATATTTCTTTTAACTAGAATTAATTATTATTTACTTTGTTTTCGAGATACTGGTGATTAATATATTTATTTATTTATTAACTATACTGATCAAATCTTAATAATTTTAAAATTAATATTTCACTCAATGACGGTATAGCTATTATAACTATAATAATTTTCTAGTACCATTCACCTTTGCGAGAGAATACACGACAAGCAGAAATTAGTAATCAAGCAAATTTATTTGGAAGACGATGGGAAACAGTTAAAGGCAGCTCAAAACGAAGTAGACATTTTGAAATCGCTAAATAATCCCAATATCATTAAATATTATGACAATTACTATGACCGAAAGGGGGTATTTTATATCGTAATGGAATTTGCTAGTAAAGGGACTGTACAACAACTGATCGAAAGAGAAAGACCGAATACTTTCCCTCCTCAGGTAAAGCGTTATTCCATAATTTAGTCGCTCACTGTATACCTACTGCATCTAGTTTTATTAAAAGGAAAAACAACCATTACACCGTGTTATTTGCAATGCCTAACTGTAGTGGTATTTAAAATTTCAATAAAATGCATTTTTATACATATTTTTAGTATGTGATGGACTTGTTTTGCCAAATGTTGATGGGTCTGGATCACATACACCAACACAAAGTTATTCACAGAGATCTGAAGACGGAAAACATATTTTTGACTGGATTAAAAGGAGACGTTGTAAAAATTGGTGATTTTGGCATATCGAAAACGTTGATAAAGTAAGTGTTTTTTTAATAAACGTTTTTTGAAATCACTATTGGTGTGGTACTTTTTTAGTGGGAATAAAGCATCTACAATAATCGGGACGTGTAATTATTTGGCACCCGAACTATGTAATGGTAATGAGTACAATTCAAAAACTGATATTTGGGCGTTAGGATGCGTCTTGTATGAATTATGCGCAATGGAAAGAATGTTTTCAGGAACTGTAAGTAAATTTCTTTTGTTGGTTTTTTACTTGTTTCGTAATCGTTGCAAACTAATGAATATTTTTTTACGACATAAAAATATTGGTTTTTCGTTTTGACAGGTATCCAACGTGGTTTTGTCGATAGCAAGTGGTCGCAAAAAGCAGGTAAATACGAAAATGTACGGCAGACAAATGCAAGAAATTATTGACATGATGTTACAAGCCAATCCCGACAACAGACCTACTACCAAAGACTTGATTACCGATCCAGATGTTTTCTCCACACTGTATGCCTTGGGGCCCTCCCTGGGATGTATTGACGAATAGAGTTTTAATTTATTTTTAATATGTGACCTGTTTACTTGTTATACTTGTTTTTTATTTGACAGTCCATGTATTGATATTTTATGTACCAGTAATAATAAAGAATCAATTTTTGTTTTGATTTTTTTTGCAGGGATATTGCGAGCTTCAAGAAAAAATAAATAATGAAAATTTCGACAGTACCTAAGTTTTGATTTTGTAAACAGTTGAGAATCCCTTATGTAACATAAACTTACTTTTGAGATGGAACATTTTGAAAAATGTATCTTTCTAGTGCGAACAAATTTTTGTTAATTAATTTTAATTTGTTTAAAATTCAAAAACAAACTATCAATTTTCTGAACTGGTACATAATTTTAATTTGATCACAATGTTATGAACAATTTTCATTTTGTTCACAATTTCTCCTAATGTTTTTTTTTAATTTTGGAATAATAAGAATATTCCCGAATTTATTAACATTTTAAAATTGTTCATAATTTGAATTTGTTCACATTTTTTAAATATCTTGTTCTGTTCACTTGGAATGAGGAACAGTCCTGATTTAACATTAATAGAGTTTTGTAGTCTGTTGCAAGATAATCTAGAAAGCCCAATGACCTTGCAACCTCTTGAATCGTTCGCTAACATGCTAATCAAAACTTAGGTTGAGTGTTATTTGTTCAAATGTTACAGATAATTTTTAAAATTTGATTTCTTCAAAGATCCTTTTGCGGTCTAAATTGCATTGAAAAATATATAACATTCATTTCATTCATTTCAAAAATACTATTTACAATATGTACATAGGATTTTTAATAACATTTGAAATACATAAAAAATATAACACGCTAAGAACTTGTATTAAAATAAAAAAATAAATAACAAAGGTTTTATTTCCAAACACAACATGTTCAACTAAAAAATATATTGAAAATTGGAACTGACTAAAATTATTTAGTATTAAGTTTCACTAGATTTATTTTGTGGAAATGTAGGTAAATGAATTTAAAAACTTCTATATTTCTAAATCACTTTCACAGTCACTAATTTCATGTTCTGAAATAATATCACTATCATCATCAGTATCCTCCAAATTTATTTCAATTTTTTGAATTGTATTGTTAAATCTCATATATTTCTCTTCGATTTTTTTAACATGTTTTTCCAGTTTTCAACAGTTCTACAGTTAAAAGCATTTCATATTACATCAATTACAGAAGAAGTGGACTTGGGAGAAGAGTTATTTGCTCGAAAATAATGTTTTAACTGTGACCATAATAATTCTATTGGGTTCAAAATACAGTGGTAGGGTGGTAAAAGTAAAACTTTAAATCCGTGTTTTATTGCTATGGTATCGATAACATATTCAGGTTGAAAATCAACCAAGTGTAAAATTTATATTAACTGTTTTTGTGTGTAGTTTTCTTCAAAAAATATATTATTCTCCATCAGAAAGTCCTGAATCACTGATTTCGTAGAATTGGTATTTGGTTTTTTTCGTACCAACCGAGAATGGTACGGGGCATTATTTAAAACTATTATGCTATTTTCATTTAGTTTTGGTAGTAATGTACTCTCAAACCATTTTTCAAAAAGAGTAATGTCCTGGTGGTAGTTCAAACTACTATCCCGTACATCCTTTGCAGACAGCAAGAGAGCTCCTTCTACCTAACCTGATTCTCCACCACAATGCAAAATGCATATTCTTTTTCCTCGAGATGGAGGAGTGTCTACATTACATTTTAAACTTCCAACATTTTTTTATGATGTCGTGAGTGTCGAACCAGGTTTCATCTAAAAAATGAATGTTTCTTCTTTCTCGTCGATACTTTGTAATTATTAAATCAAGATATTCTATTCTCCATTTAACTAAACGGCTGGATTCCGTAATTGTTTGTCTTTTATTAATGGTTTTAAATTTAAAGCCGTTGGATTTTAAAATCTCCATAATGTCGTTTTATGGTTGTCTTCTATTAACGTTTTTTGTTTTAGTTGTAAAAATAACGTGTTCAAAGTAGGAAAATTATTTACGGAGATGAACCAGAATCTTGTCGCACCTTTCTAGGTGGTGCCCCTTCCTGTAAAATTTTATATACAGTTGACTGTGGTACTTTTGCCGAAAAAGTCTATTTTAGGGCTTCGGAGGAAGACAATTCATTTTTTAGATCTGTTATCTCTTTCTTATAAAATGAATAGTTTTAACGCAAGAGCGCCCTAAAGTTTACTACTGATTATATCTCATCCAAATTGAACAATTGTTTATGATAACTGTAATAAAAAGGTAAAGATTTTAGTATTTTAATTTTCTGAATTTGTTTTAGTAAAAATTAAAAGAATTTTGACTTTTCACTAAAAACTGCGTTTTAAGTAGTTTTTCATTAATAATTTGAATAAATCGCATTCAAAATTTGCGAAAATTTGGTAATAGTAAATATCATGACCTGTACTTTACTATTACAAAATTTTCGCATTCTTCTTCGCTTCGTCTTTACGAAAAATAAAAAAACAATTTTTTTTTGCAAAAGCGACATTAAATTAAAATAAATCAAAAAAGTTAAAGAATAAAACTTGTTTTAAATTTCATTTTAAGAATAAATTTTGAATGCGATTAAATAAAAAATAGGAAATTTATTTTATCAAATTAATAAAAAAATACTACTTAAAATGCAGTTTTTAGTCAAAATACTTATAATTTGTACTTAAACTAATTCAGAAAATCAAATTGTGGAAATCTTCACTTTTTTGTTACAGTTTTTAATCATAACCAGGGCTGGTATACCAGCCCTGATCATAACCAATTATTGTTCAACTTTGACATGCTCCAGTGTTCAGTTTTCGTCTGTCATGCGCATGACGTCACTCATAGCCCGACTCTCATTAGGGAGAGGGGAGTGCTTATTTTCTCTGTAACGCAATTATATAACATCTACAACAAAATGTTTAATACAAAAACTATTTAAACTACTCGTATTTACCCGAAATTGTTATTAATATCTATAAAATAATATTGCACGCCAATGTATCGCGTCCACTTCGGTTGGCTCCGCCGCAAAACTGTCAATTTATGTGTATATGAAATGGGAGAGTTGCGAAAAGCCTTTCCAACCTCGCTTAGTGCGGAGTCATGGTAGGGGAAGCAAAAGCGATACTAGCGCCAGCTACGGATAATTCGTGCATTTTAGGGTGATATTCAGTGGTATACGGACAGTTCCAAAACCATAGAAGGAACTGGAATAGGAGTGTATGGGCCGAGAACCAAGCACTCCGAAAGCTTGGGAAAATACCCAAGCATCTTCCAGGCGGAAATTCACGCCATCGAGAAGTGTATCCAGTTTAACATCGAGAGAAACTATCATAGACAAGAGATTATATCATCATGTCCGATAGTCAAGCAGCCATCAAAGCGCTGAGTTCTTACGTAATCAGCTCAAAAATGGTCTGGAGATGCCTAGAACAATTGAATGAGCTAGGCGAGAAAAATAACGGGGTACAGGGTAACGAGATTGCAGATAGTCTTGCAAGCAAAGGGGCTCAAACACCCTTTGTAGGACCTCAGCCGTTCTGCGGTGTCAGCAGTAACATAATAGGAGAGATTAAAAAAGAATTGGGTAGTAGAAAAACCGATAATTGGGACAATCTGTTGGAGCTGAGACAGGCCAAGATACTTCTGGGTGAATATAACCAGAAAAGATCGGAAGCCTGCATCTGCCTGAGCAAGAACAGGCTACGTATTGTAACAGGGATCCTTACCGGGCATTTCCGACTAAAAGGACGCCTAAGTAAACTGAGAGTTGTAGAGGATAGTGAGTGCAGATTCTGTGAGGAGGAGGACGAAACCTGCATTCACATCCTAACTGAATGTGTAGCACTCCAGAATCCAAGGGCACTATATCTAGGAGGGTATCAAATAGAAGAGGGAGATTTACCTAACTTGAAGCCACTTCAAATCCTACACTTCCTTGAGAAAATAGGATTGGAAGGGTCGCTATAGGCATTGAGACATTTCCTTAGTGCAGTGGTGACAGAAGGGGACACAATAGATCTTTTAGGTTGCAGTGTATTAACACCCCATTCTCAACATAACATAACGAGGGCGATATTTTGTAATTTTGGAGTATCAAATATATACGTATATATTTTATTTATTTAAAAAAACAATAGTTAAAAGTAATGCAATGAGCAACCGGAGTTGCTGTATTGTAAATTGTAAAAATACTAGCAAAAAAACAGTGTATTTTATGCATGTTCAGAAGCAAAATAGAAATTAAATCAAAGAAATAAACTTTCCTTTAATTGCAGTAAGAAGGGAAGAGTAAACAAACCTTTATTTTTGTAACAAGAGTATCCTAATACCTATTGAAATTAGTAGACATCACAAAAATGAAAAGTTTTTTATATACTTAAATTATTATTATTTTACAATGTTCTTCAAAATTCCTTAAGTACGTGTTCAAAATCGAAATATTTCTGCCTTTGATTCTCTGTATCTGGAATGCAATTTTGTGACTGACTGATTGGAAAACAGTTATTTAATAATTAATTCTGTTTTCTTTCGAACTAAAAATGAAGAAAACAAGTATAAATTACATTCGAAAAGATCACAATATTTTAACTATTTTTTTGGGATTAAATTTTGAATACACGTTTCACGTTATAACCTTCAACTTCATTAGGCAACTTTTCATACACTTTCTCGTAAATACTATTGCCTATAATTACCTGTTCTATGCACATGTTTTAATAATTTTTTATTAAATATACTTATTTTTGTTTAGCTGAATTAATAAAAATAAATAATAATAATAATAATAATAAATGAATCTTATCACTTATTTTATAAATCAATATATTTTTTTTAAAACCAAAAAATACATGTTTTAATTAAGAATTCTATTAAAAATGATACTGTCAATACACGAAAAATCCCCCTTTAGTACATATTTCAGTTGGCGACGACAGCGAATAGAATAGAATCAGATTTGTCTCTGATAGAATCTAGAAAATGGAACGTTTTGCAGAGATCAAACAAGATTCCCTTTTTTATAACAAATTGCGTGAAAAATAATTATTAATCTCAACTTTTATGAAATGTTCAACAAGTTTGGATTAAATTTGTTTTCCTATCCCTTGATTCTACGCCGATGGGTTATCGTAAATTATCGAAATAGAGTGTGTTAATTATGATATTAACGTAATTAACGTAGGTACATGTCTTTAAGTTAATAAAGTGTTTACCGTAAGGAAAGATATTTTTTACGAAATTATGTATCTATTAAATTAACTTTATCACCCTATAAATGAAAACTGGGACGTTTACAGGAAAACTATAATTTTCTTAATAATTAGTTAAGATCTACGATACTTTATTCTTAACAAGTTTATTTTCACAAGTTAATCCTTGTTCCTACGATGACCGGTTTGTTCTTGTGAGAGATCAATTTTTTTATGGCTGCAATTACCTAAATTTATTATGTGGATGTGGGCGTGGGCGTAATGTAAAATACCAGAGTCTCAACGTCAGTGGATTCCTACCCTTAAGCAGCAGCAACAACAACAACAATAACAACAACAACAATAACAACAACAATAACAACAACAACAACAACAATAACAACAACAACAACAATTTGGATCTATTCCATGTGTATAATAATACAACCAATCGGAAATGTAGATCAATTATATTTTAATTATAAATTGGGTATCAACGATAACAATTAAACTTATTATAAAATACAATATACTAAGAATGGTCATACATTTACTGCATATTTTCTATACTCCAAAATAACTTTTGCGTCATCTTTAACCATAGCGCGTAATGTCAACCAACAACCGTTGAAAGGGCTAGTAGACACTGCGAGTTTTAATATGCTCAAGTGAAATTAAAAATTTGTGTTATAAGATACCGGAAATAAGGATAAAAGAAGAAATAAAACATTTTTTAACATTTTAATGATATGTCTGAAGATTATTTGCATGTAGATGAAGATATAAAGTTCCATGAACAATCCGGACAATATTTACCATTAGAGGTACCTGATTTTTAGGTTATGTTTCCTCATCATGATTGTTCTGTTTATTCCTTCGATTTTATTAATACTTTTTAGTTAACAACTAGTAGATCATCGCTTAATAGAATATCTGAAGAATTTAATTTTGCACTGCCCAGCACAAGTACTAAGCCAAATATGGTGGTCGAAGAAGCAAGATATACCTACCCAACTCAACTTACTAATAGTTTTGATAGAGAAAATTGGACAGTCTCTACAGATCATTGCTACGCACGACCGTGGAACTGGAGACCAGAAGCTAACTTTTTGAGACCTACCAAGACATTATTCGTCCCAAAGCTAGTGCCGATTAAATCATCAGTCAACTCATCTGTGACTATACAAGAAGGTGAAGATTTAATTGATATTGAGTCTGAAATTGAGGTGCCAGCACCTACTTATGATGTAGCTAAAGCTAAAAGTTTAATGGAAGAATGTGAAAAGCATGCTTTTGCTGCTAGAACTGATACCGAAGAAGATTGGGAAGAAAAAATTTCAAGGTAAACATTGGTGATCCCTATAGAACTATGAATGTTGAATATCATTTTCAACTGTTTGTTTTCTTAATAAAACAGAAAATATATGCTGATTTCAAAATATAAACAAAACTGAATAAAACTAGGATGTTCATTGGTACAAAGAACAAAAAACCTCATAAAAAACATTACATTTTAAATTTTTATGTATTATGTACAACATCAAATTTGACATAAAACCTAAATACCAAAACACATTAAAAACATAACTTGAGTAGATAAAAATAACATTTAATCCATTCAGGATGGTTACTATGTTTTAATCTTGCCAAACTATCATTCTTTGTATGTTTATCTGGAGATTTCATAACTGTTTTCCAGAATGCAGGACTGGCTCTATACTTTTATGTTTTAAACATGACTAACAATCAGACATGATTTCCTGCACTCTACTGATGTGCACCTGCTTCCAGTGGTTGTCCTGAAAGGGTTAAAGACAGTTTCTATTGAAAAAGAAAACTCATTTTAGCCTATTGTGTTTAATTCAATATACTTTATTATAAATTGATAGCTCAGCATTAAGCTGTATTTGACCAACTTCTCTATTTTTTAGACTAAATTGGACAACTAGTCAACACAAAATCTTTGGTGCCATGGTAAACATATTGAATAGTTTTAATCTATCAAAATTAGCATATTCTGGTTCACAAAATGAGCCACTTCTAAGGAGAACTGTTATTGACAAGGCTGTTCAAAGAATTAGGCGTTTACTGGCATCAGTTTTATGGGATCCAAAATTAACCCAATGGTTGCATCAAATTTTAATAGATAACTTAGGACCTCATTATTTAGCATGTTATCTAGATATTCTCCAAGTAAGTGGACCAATTTAAACAAAAACATAATAATTATATGTAATGATTTAGAATATTAGCTATATTACTATTAAGCTTAATTAAATATTGCTTTACTTTTTGACTTCTTTGTAAAATAAATGTGTTTTTCTTAAAGGCAAAATATTTAAGATCTGTGTTAGAAATTATCATATAAATATCTGAAATTAACAAATTATTATTAAAAGGAAAAATATATTTAAAATTACATTTATATTTACAATATTTCCATATTTTAGCTAAATACCTAGAACATTATAACTATCATTAAATTGACAAAATAAATACTTATTTGTCAGTAGCTCTTATTTTAATGAATATAAAATATATTTTTTAGACATTGAAATCAAAAATTCCTACTTTCATTGACAAAATGATGCATGGATCAACGTCATCAGTTAGAATGGGAACTTTGAATAATTCAAATTTAGCATCTTTGATGGAGAAACCATGGGATCCTCTGTCCCCAACTCTAATGCAGGACAAGCCTAAAAAATTACCTGGAAATCCAGTAATAATTATTGTACCTTCTGGTCCTATAATGTCGAAAATAATTCACAAATGGATAAAATTACTGAGCAATTTGGCAACAGTTGTCACGGTACCAACAAATTTTGGTCAGTGCTTTTCCAGTTATAATCCTAAATGTAAGAAGTCCAACCTTACCTTATCACTGTGTTTATAGGTTGTTGAAGGATAGTAAGAAATTAACACAATATTTGGTTTTGTGGATAGGATATGACTAAATACTAAATCCACTTTCTGCTGTCCTTCTGTTAATTTATAAGCATATCCTGTTCATGCCTAAATTTAGACTAAATAGCCTAATTCAGAAAGCATCTTTAAATACCCTCACATGTAAAATCTTAAATATAGAAATGTCATTGTGATAAATGTCCAGTAGAGTTAGACAATATTTCATGAACTGTTATTTAATTTAAACTGACATTCTTTGTATGTTTTTCTATCGATTTTATAATTACTGTTTTCCAGAAAACTCGTCTTTTTTCTGATTTTACATCTTTTATTTAAAAATGCTTTGAGAATACAGATATAAGAGTGCCCAGATGAATTATTGCAAGGGATATGAAAAAAACTAAGAAAAAATATATTTCTTAGGAGGCTTCCTAAACCGAAGGGCTTTCCACTTTGGCAATAGGTGTACAAATTTTTCGAAAATGTTGCCTTAGGCAATGTTGGAAATATTTTTGCAATATCGGTAATGTGTTGGTTATGCTGGCATTGTTTTCGCAAATGCACAGCATTGGTTCGGAAATGCATGGCATTGTTTGGAAAATGGATGGCATTGTCTCGGAAATGCATGGCAGTAGCTCGACCGATTTATCCCAGTTTAAAACAGTTAAAAAAAACAATTTTTTACTTACATGTGTTTATAGCGGTTTAGACTGTGTAGAGTGAAAAGTTATATAATTAAAAGATATAAATGGTAACAAGATTTATTTTAATTCTAATTTCAATTAGTATATGTCATGTTTTTTTGGCTCTGTATGTAACAAGATCTGGGCAGTACTCAAAGTACTCAGTAATTGGTGCTCGTAAGTACTTTCATCCTGATGGGACTCATACTCAAAAAAAATCGAGAACTTTATATTTTAGAGTATTCAGTACTTTTTATTTCCTCACTTGACGAGTAACATGATACGAGTACCGACGCGCGCATATATATTACTTATTTATTTATACTGCAAAACAAACAGAATGCAATCCATTTACATGTTATACAGTTTGGTAGCACTTACAATAATTACTAAAACTAAAAATAAATTTAACAATGGTATACAATTAATAAAAATATAATATGTGTAATATTAAGAGTTATATAAGTTATAATAGTTTTTGTTAAAATGTATGTTTATCGAATATTAATTTCAATTTGTTGAAAGACATTAAAAAGGTCGATGTTACTGCTAATCATGAACCGATCTAGTGTTTGAAGAGAATTATCAATAGGCGAGAATAAATTATTGTTGTAAAATAATGTGTATCTTTGCCTAAGGTGAATATCTGGTACGCTGAAATTGATGGAAGCTAGTAATTCGGGTTAATTAAAATTTCCATATATAATGTTGGTTATAAATGTTACTTGGGCTTTGTTCCTTCTGCTAAATAGTGTTTCAATATTAAAATCTATTAACTGGCTCTGGTAAGAGATATATTTTTTCATGTGTAGAGATCTGACAAAACGCTTCTGCACTCTTTCCAAGGTATCATTATAAAAGGATTGTTTTTTGTGACCAAATTATACAGGCATATTCTATTTTTAGATCGTACGAATGCATTATATAGAACTTTGCATGTTTCGGTAGAGAAATCATGGCAAGCCCTGAGAATAAATGCGAGTCTTCTATAGCAGTCTGTTGTTAATATTGTTATAATTTTATTAAAATTTGAAGAATAAAACCACCATCTTTGCTTTCGTTTGTTCTCTTTATTAAGGTATTGTTAATTTTATAATCTGTTATGATGGGGTTCTTCTTCCTGGTGTAAGTGATTATATTGCATTTAGGTATATTGAATGAGAGATCGTTGATATGACAGTATTTGGATATTGCTGTGATATCCCCTTGCAGTAACTCAGCATCAGCTGCAGAGGAGATTTGTCTAAACAGCTTCAGATCATCTGCATATAATAGAAATTTAGAATGTTTAATATAATCATTGATAAAAATTACAAATAGAAGTGGTCCCAGAATCGACCCTTGTAGTACACCAGAATTCGCTATGAAGAGTTTCGAATTACTGTCATTGAATCTAACACAGTGTTGACGATTAGTTAGATACGACTTTATTAACCGAGTTAGATCGTTGCTGAATATGTTTTGTAATTTGTTTATCAGAACATAATAATTTACTCTGTCAAATGCTTTTGCTAGATCATTATATATTGTATCGACCTGACTGTGTGTTATAGTGTTAGCGACATAATCGTTAAATACACATAAATTTGAAATTGTTGATTTTTTATTGATAAAGCCATGCTGCTCATCAATTAATATGGGTGACACATGTGAATAGATCCTATTATAAACTGTTCTTTCAAAGACTTTAGATATAGAGGAAAGAATTATGATAGGACGAAAGTTCTCTATTTGGCTCGTATTTCCCGATTTATGTATAGGTGTTATGCGTTTTAAATTTATCAAGGAAAGATGTTATTTGCACTGATAATGTAAACATTTGTTTTAGAGGAATCGATAATATCTCTGTAAGCCTTGAGGAAATACGCAGGTATATTATCAATACCCATTATAATGAAAATGTTAAACCATTCCAATATTCTAGAGTTTTTAGGGTTATAGCTCCTTTGGCTACTCACCAAAAATTAAAAAAAAAAACTAAAAATAATACTAATCAATAAAAAATATTGAAATAAAAAAATCTAAATCTTCTGCTTAGGTTCTTTCTTCTTGCTCCCAGTTCTTCGTCTTTCTGCTCTAACTCCTGTTCTCCTGCCTGGTCTCATCTTGCTGTTTTCCTCTACTTTCTTCTCTTACTCGTCCTTCTGACGAATTCTACTTCCTGCTAAGTTCTCCTTCCTATTCCATTTAGACTTATCTTTAATTTAAATAAAACTTTTAAGCTATTGCATAGCTTTTATCGCGGGCTTTGAGCGCGGCGACCGAATCAAGAAATTCCGTAACGAAAATAAACCTAACACCCCCACTCCGACCGGCACAGCGGTGCGGCGTTGAAAGCCGTGCATCGTCTAACATCGTTTCAGCTCGGCAGACTTCGGCAAGGTGTTTGTGTGCGTGCGACTAGACGTATGTTGTGTAGACTAGCTGCTAACTGCTCATAACTGATTCTATCTCTTTTAGACACAATGCTAGGTGAGACAGCGTGATTTTTGGCCGCGTCCACGAGTGAGTCCGAGCCCGCGACTAGTTGAACCTTAACGTGTATGTATATGGTACGACTGTACGAAGCTCGCACGGATCGAGACGAGCTGCTCCGAAATCGGACGAATACGTAAGCAGCTGTTTGTGAGAAAGTATATATAAAAATGCTATGCAATAGCTTTACCGCGGCAGTCCCCGAATGCCACACATATTTTTTTTATCTTTCTTTTTTATTCTTTCTTATTTATTTATTTATTTTTTCATCTCTATCAACATCTATCTATTTTGACGTCAATATAATATTTTCTGACCTTTTTTTAAATTTTCCAACTGACAATTCCAAAACCTTCTCTATGTCAATCTTCTCAAAATATATTTGACAATTCCATTAATTTTCAAAATCTCATTACCATGGGCGTCACAACCCTAAAAACTTATCGACGCCAACGATTTTTATCTTTAGCTAAAATCAAAAGTATCTCAATGAACAGTCATATTTTTGAATTCCCAATAAAATTACCTTTTCAATGATGGGTCATAATTTGTAGTTTCCCTATTTAAATTGTATTGGTTACTGTGACGGAGAGGTAAGCTTACCAGACGTCCGATTTTTAAATTCCTTTATTTTTGGGACGTCCGATCCGTTGTTTTCTTTGTCCGTTATTTTTTAATTTATCGCTAAATTATCCTAAAGGTTTAAGACTACTTTTTACGCCATACACTTTTGTGAGTTAATAATTAATAAATAAAAAAAAATCTTTCTGTATTACCTTTACGACTTTTTTTTAATGAGGTCTTTACTGTTCCTTTTTTAATTCAAAAATTTGAAAAACCATATCTCCGAGTATAGGTACCGTAGTAAATATTCATTTTTAAAAAAATGTTAGGTCACCAAACCTATTTTAAAATAATTTTTTTAACCTTAAAATTTTCTAGTGTTTACCTTAAGCCATTGACCTTGAAAACCCTGAAAAATTTTTGCCTCTGGCCCTTTTTTAACCCTATATAACATGTGTGTTTTTCCTTCATGAAACCTGGCAAACCTAAAGAGGGGAGGCGAATGACATTTGAAAATTTGGTAGAAAGGTAATATTGTCAATGGAAAGTTTTTAAATTGACACCCTGTATAGAATAATTTGAATTTACTACATACATATTTGCCAGAATACAATGCGCTTTGAAAAATCCTGTAGCGACGACTACTATTTCTAAGGTCGCGACTTGTTTCTTCTCGTTAAAGCCTGTATTCAACAGCTCACCCATCTAAACTTCGGTAAGACTATTTTTCACCTTTTTTGTCAGTTATGTTTACTAGCATAAATCTGGGTTGAAATCTGAAGTCTTCATCAAAGTAAATGTCTAATTTTTGGCCGATTGTTTAAGAGGTATTGTCATTTCTAATTTTCATAAAAATGTTAGGTTTAAGAATAGTATATTGAGTTAATTGCCAAGAACTAAGATTTGAGATTTTGATGGATTTAATCGCAAATTTTGTGTGTGTGACAGACAGTTGATGTTAAATCTACAATCATTTGTGCAGTTGCAATCCGAAAGTCACAGAATTTAAAGTACTAATATATCTGAATATCATCTGCGAAAAACTGAGCTGAACAATATTTAATTTTAGTGTATAAAGCAGTTGTTTACAATAATAGTAAGGTTCATAATACCGAAGCTTTCTTTATTCCAGAGATTATTTCATTAACACTGGACTGTTAGTTGTTAACACGATGACAATGAATCGTATATGATTTGATGAATTTGCGTGTTGTTAGCATCTTGCATGGAAGTAGTTGCCACATTCAAAAGTCACGAAACTTTAAATGAAGGGGAAAATAAAAACTATTTTCCTATGAAATTGAGGATCAGCCAATATAAAATCCAACGCTATTTAAATTTTAGAAAAGAATTTGCAAATGAATTTGCAGAAATCCAAACTAGAAAAGTTTCTTTGATAGTATTTCATTTCTTTATTTTCTATCATCTTTATTTAAAGACAAATGTCAAGTGCAGTTAATATTTTTTAACAATTTAATAGTTACTGTTGTTACATTATGTAATAAAAAAAATCTGATGTGTCCAACACATGACTTTCCTATCTAGTTAATATAGGCTTTTTCCGGTTATTTTGTACAACCTATTGCAGCACCTCTATAAATGTTTAGAGGATGAACTAAATATTTACATTTTCCACATACATCTACCTCGAAAGATTTTTCTGTAGATATTCATTAAACACGAAAATACTGAAAAATTTAAATTTAGCACTTTTCCTCCAATTTTTCCATTACAGTCCATTTTAGAAAAATTATAGATAATAATATTAGAAGTAACTTTTATTTTAACAATTTTCTTCTCCAAACATAAACATATACTCCATAAAATATAAAAACGGCCTCCTATAAAGTACCCCCCAGATGTTCCGACTTTGTCTAAAATCTATTCATTTCACGTCAGGCCGAAATAAAACTTAAGTTTAAAATTTAATGTTTTTTCCTTTATCCGTTTTTGAGTTTTCTTCAAAATTCGAAATTTACACATTTTCTCAAATATCTCGAATACGGTCCATTTTAGAGAAATTATGTATAGGATGAAAATTATAGAGAATATATTACAAACAACTTTTATTTGAACAATTTTTATAAAAAAAATATTTTTTTTTTACATTTTGTCAAATTTCTCGAATGCGGACCATTTTAGGAAAATTTTGTATAGAACAAAAAATATTGATAATAATATTGTAACTTTTATTTTAAGAATTTTCTTCTCCAAACGTAAATAACAGATATATTCCATAAAGCTTAAGTTTAAAATTTGGTGTTTTTTTTTTAATCGGTTCATGAGTTATGGTGGACACACACGCACGCAGACACACACGCACGCAGACACACACACACGCAGACACACACACACGCAGACACACACACACGCAGACACACACACACACACACACACACACACACACACACACACACACACACCACACACACACACCACACGCACACACAGACATCATCCCGAAAATAGTCAAAACGGATTCAGGGGACCCCAAACCTTAAAAATTCGTCGAAAACTGGAGGTCGAAAAAAATCATGATTCCTATACTTTCCTTATCTGTATACAGATAGGAAAGTAATAATGATATTTGTTATAAATTAAAGCAAAAAGAAGTTATTTTGGTTCAATATACATAAAGGCTCATATCAGTATTTTGCATGACAACGTGAAGGAGACCTGGCTCCTTCCTGCAATGAACGCATTTGTTGAATTTTAAGAAATCTGCTTTGAACAATTTCTTTAAATTTTCGTTTATTTGTTGATATTAAAGTCACTTTAAAGATTTTTTTTAAATAATCTCTGATGGGCACTCTTGTCAAAAACTAGTTACGTATCGACTATATTCAGATATAGAAGCTGTTAAATTTTACATTCTTATAGGTTCTACTGGACATAGGATGACAATGCCCAGCATTTTGGATCAGTTATTTTCTGTAACCAGAGGAAAAATCCAAGACGTCAGAGATGATTTTCCCGGTAAAAATATTATATTGGTTGGATTTAATAGCGGAGCAGCTTTAGCGTTGCAAGTAGCCCAAGTTGAACCGGTCCTATGTGTGATAAGTGTAGGATTTTCACTACTAACGGCAGAAGGTACACTATTTATTTTTTTATGTTAATTCTAGAATAAACTTTTAGAGAAATATACAATAACATTACCAAACCCTTTAAATAACATGTCGGATCCAAGTTCTCCGTCAGTGCCTCTACCAGTTGTGCCATCGAAACACATCGCTGCGACAGTTGAATTTGTAGATTTGAAATTAGTCAGATTCCGATTCTCGCAGCTTTTTTTAATTTTTCTTTGGTATATTTTCACTTCTTCATAATTTTGTAGAGGGAACTGGGAATTATATATTTTCATATTTCTAAAATTGCATCGTAGTTTTTTGCATACCAACCGATTTTCTCACTTCACTTTTCTTTGTCATTTTACTTATGTTGCTTACATTTTTGTAACTTTTTAAATAATAAAGTTTTTTTTAATGTTAGAAGTTATTACTGTATTATTTGCAACACAAAATATTAATACAGTGTCATTTTCTTATGAAGCGTTAGGAGAATACTGAGCATTTTCAGTATTTTGATTTTAAGCATTTTTGAAAATAACCGCGAAAGGTAAGTTTTTGAATACTTTACCACTCCCTAAACATAAATTCTTTTTTTTTTTTCTTTTTTTTTTTTCGTTTATGCTCGTTTATTCTCGTTCATACTTGTTCGTACTCGGGAAACGTTCTCCAAAAATATGTGCTCGAGAATTTTACATCCTAGCTCTCAACTTTGTTTCGTTTTTAGGTCTCAGAGGTGAACCTGATGACAATGTGTTAGAACTTCAATGCCCTGTCCTGTTTGTCATTGGACAGTGCTCCAATACTTCAAAGTAAGCTCAAGATATACATTTTTTTTTTTAGAATCTCTCAAAAATGATATGACCTAATTTTATCATTAAGAACCACATATGTGGTGACCCCTGTATCAAAATGTAAAGCAATAAATTAAATAATATTCCTTGTCTAAAGTTATATCTCTTTTGCCTGTTTTAATAACGATTTATAAATATTTTAATATTTTGTTAAATTATTACCAAAAAACGAAAAAAAAAAACACCCTTGTATCTTTTTTCGACAGCAACATTTTATCAAGGTCTATGTTCCAATAGTTACGACTCACATTGTATTTCAATTAAAAAGTAGTATATTATTTATTATTTTACTTTAGTCAAGAGGACTTGGAGGATATGCGTGAAAGAATGAGAGTCGAAACTGGTCTTTTAGTAGTGGGCTCGGCTGATGATTATTTGAGAGTCAGTAAGAAGAAAAGAAGGCAAGAGGGAATAACGCAAAGCATCGTTGATAGATGTGTTGTTGTAAGTATAATATTCTCAACATGAAGTTATCGTTATATGTATTGTTAAATTATTGTAAAATTCTTTTTGTTTCCAGGATGAAATCGGCGAATTCGTCAGCGGTCTGATACTGTCTCCTTATCCCCCGCAAATTAGACAATCTCCTGCCCACATCCCTCCCGAAACTCCAATTAAAAAAGGTAATAATCCTCCTGAGCGCAAACGATACAACTCTAACACAAGTTCTTTGGACAGTGAACCACCTTCACCAACTCCAGTTAGGATTAATAGACCAGGTTTTGAAAATAATTCATTGTTATTGGGTTTGGGTGTAAAGTGTATGATTTGGCTTGTTGCATGGGGCTTTTGGTTTAAAACAGTACATTTCAGATTTTACATTCTTGTATTTTTATCCCATGAAAAAAAGTGACTCAATATCAATGTTTTTTTAAAGGAAATCACTTTGCATTTGCGGAGGAATTAACTATTATTAAATCTTCCTCTTTATTCCATTCCACAAAAAATGGCTGAATTAGTTACTAAGATCTGATAAAAGTGATTTTTTTATTTTGTATTTTTACGAGCATGCTCCTTTAGATTACAACAGATTGTTTTAAATTAATGTGTGCCAAAAATTTTAAATGTTTAAAATATTTGTGAATGAAAAAATTTTGATTTTTTATTAGCCAAATTTGTCAATTTTTAAGCGAAATTTTTTAAATGTAGTTGAAAAAATATTGACTGGAATTTTTTGAGCCAAATATGTCACTTTTTGAAACAAATTGATAATTTTTGAATCGTTTGACATTTTTTGAGCAAAATTTTACTAATACTTGACTAAATTTTTTTTTGTTTATTTTATTTTTATAAGAGTTGCATGCATGAATTTTTACTTTTTTTTTGTTCTAATAGCGATCCAAAATTAAGATCGCAGCGCCACCTAATACTCTCGCTGGAACTACTTATTTATACATTATTACAGATGACTGGCATCTCTTTCTTTTCAAGAAACTCTTTTCATCGTATTTTTTTACATATATGGACATTTTAACTCTATCATAGTGTTTTTTTTTTTTAATTCGATCTGGACTGGCAGCAAGATAATCAAATTCGGAATCAATAAAAAGTCCACATTTAAAAACTTTCTTGCAAATAAATTTCCAAATCTTATTTTGCTCTGGCTTTATTGTCCATGCCATACTGGGTGGCTTTAGCAAAAAATCACTCGGGATTAGTAATACCTTTTTTAGACCTTTTTTATACATGTCTCTAAATTTTGAAGCCTTGACTCGTTTTCGTCTTTCATTGTGTAAACAATGCACAATCAGCTTGATCTCGTTTTTATTCTCATCGACAGACTTTGGCAAACTTGTTAGAAAATCTTCTGCAACGTGCATCAGAGTGCGACAGATGAAAGCCACGCGCGAAAGCAAGAAAAAATATTATTTACTTAGAATAAAAAAATATACATTACTTTAACAGATTAAAGGGTTGTTAAAATGATTGTTAACTCGAAGAGGTAACCATTAAAAAACCCGTGCCATATAAAAATTAAACAAAAATATATTTATGTATCATATCTCACTGTATACCTTTTAATTTCGGATATATTTTTTTAAGAAATAAATGATAAAATAAATTTAAAATAATTTAGTGAAATTATAAAAAATAAAGTGTACAATCAACACAAAATAAATTCAAATCACTTACTTTACTGTTTATCACTTGTAAATAGTAGAAAAAAATGTACATTTTGTTGGTGTCACCCTCTAGACGAAAATGCTTTAAAGTATTATATTTTTTCATTTTTTTTGTAATAAAAATAAATGCTGTAGGCAAAAATTAAATATATTATTCCCTTCTAGCGGTTTTTAACATTTCTATTACTTTTCGTTAGAAATACATCTTTTTTAGATTTTTTTCACAACAAACTGATTCAAATTTTCAAAAAGTGACTCCAAAAAATTAAAAATATAATTGGTGTAATATGAAACCCTTGCATAATATATAGGTATGCTAATCTTAGTAATACGTAAAAAATACGGTGGACAAATACGTAAAATTTATTTATTCCTCGTAAAACATCAGTAAAATATATTATAAATTGTTTTCATTCACAAATATTAATTTCTAAAATATCTAACAGAGGCGCCACTTTCCAGACAAAAAAATCTTGCAATGTAAGGGATTCGTAGCACCCCATTTTTAAAGCTTATTTTTGACTATTTCTAAAAGAAAAAATATGTACTTATAGGTAAAGGTTAAATCTATGCTCCTCTGGAACCATTTTTTCAAAATTCTTTTTAGTTTTTTTTAAACAATCAAATTTTGAAAAAGTGTCTCTAGACATGCTTTTCTTGCATCTAATAATTCATACATCTTTATTATGGAAGCTAACTCTGTACTTTCCAACATCAGGAAATTGATGAAAAGTAAGATTGGGATTTTTTTATAAATTACACCATGGCACTGAACAGTAATAGGGAGTGATCCACAAAAAATATGTCGGGGCGTACATGACTAGTATCTAATAATAATGAAAGCTTTTATTGGCAAAGAACAAAAAAACAGAATCCTGAAAAATATAATACAATATTTTCCAAAAGACAGTTAGGTCTAGTCCTCTCTTCCACTCAACTCTGTCTTTGTCGGTCATGCCCCACTTTAGAAACATTTATTGTGGATCACATAGTACATTTTTTGTATTTTATTCATTGTAATTTAATTCCAGTTACTTTCGAGTACTTTGGAGAAAGATTTTATATAAAACATAAGTGCATTATTTAACAATTTGTTAATACATACATGACTGTTCTCTGCAACTTTATTTTCTTCACAATCGACGTCGCAGAAAGAAGTGTTTTTACTGTCAGCTGGGAGCAGTGGAGAGTAGAAATGTAGGATGTTTGTAGATAAATTGCCAGACTCTGGTTTGATTATGATGAAATTAAATATGTTCTTTATGTAACAACTTTATTTAGACTATAAACTTCAGCTTACAACAATTTTACATAGTAAAATGATACGAGTACTTAAATTTAGTATTAATGATTAATTAACAGATTTAATACATCTCAAAATATATGTTTTTAGTGATTATAAACGAGCTCGCAACGGGAGAAGGCAACGTTTGTTTTGTCGAGTCGAGTGTGAGTACTTGCAATTGTGGGCGTGTTTGACTACGGAAATCTCTCCTGTTATTTCGCGTATTTTTTTTGCAGAATAAAGATAGAATATACTTATGTTAACGCGAGTAAAACAGATTTATGAGGGTGAAGGAATTAGCGCTAATGCTTAAATTACTGGTAATTTTCCATGAGAGAGATAGATAATAATTTAGGCGCGTAAATAATAAAAAGGTGTGCAAAGTTGTACAAATATGTTTTTCCTGGAATTCAAAAAAGCAAACAAATTTTTTATCTTTATTAGATGTACTATGATGGACTGAATAACAACCTTTTGTCCTAAAATCTGATTGAACACTGTTAATAAAATTGTTTCTATCTATGAAATCAATTTCTAAGAGAAAATAACAAGTTTACTGGTTTCCTAAAGTTGTTAATTTTTGGAGCTGGCAATTTTGATGTAATTTTCAAAAACATGGAAATATATTAGTTTCTATTGACAAATTTATCAGATTTATGTTTAGCTTTTTCACCTCTGACTAAAGTTAAAAGTAACTACTTTGCCGATTAGGCTATAGGTTATAGTTCGCTATATAATCTGCCAAGTAACCCTACGTTTAACTTAGAGGTGAAAAGATCGGCACTTTATAGATGCATACAAATATTACTGTAACATTAAAAAAAAAAATTATATTTATACCATCTAAATTTCCCTTGTTAGGCATTGAAATTACAGTTTTTACCTAGTTGATTATTTTTTTTTTATATATTTTTATTTCGAAACGTTACAAGTTTATTTTAATTATGATTATCAATAATGAAGTATTATAAATAAGTATATCAATATAAAAATCTTAATTTAAAATGATAAAAATGATCGAAATCTGCTTTTTGTGTGAAAACGTTATCAGAAATTTAGTTAATGTCACACTAATGTATAAACACAGCATAAAGATGAACCAGCAGGCTCTCTCCGCGTAAAAATATAAGTGTGCCGACAGCATCCTAAGCAAGCGATTCGCCATATTCTCCGGATGCTCAACGACAGTCGTGTAGCATCTTTCATACAGAGCAAAGTTGGTGCATATATGTATAAATGAGTAGTTCCATTTTTTAACTGGTTTGCAAATCCCTAATCACCAAGAGGTTGACAATGTTTTAATAAAATATAATTCTGTAGTAGGACGTCCACCCGGCTCGAAGAGCAAAAACCGTCTCGAAGCGAAATGGGCCCAGCAGATTGCGCAAGGTAACATCCCTCCTAATCATACCGCGTCCAGTCCCAGTTCCCCTCCCGCTTATCCAACTATTCCCACTCCTGACACCTCGTCAAATGACAGTTTCTCCCAAGCGGAGAAACTGTCCCAACCGGCTCATTCCGTAACTCCCAAACAACCCGACAGAGCGCCCACGCCCGTTAAAAAATTAAAAATTCTAAAGCCGGTGATCAGCGCCGACAGCAAATCGAACAGTTCGTCATTGAAGACTCAGCCGATGGCCAAGACTCAACCGATGGCCGCCGGTAAAACTACGACGCTAACGCCGAAGGGCCAACCATTGCAATCAGGTTAGTGGGAGATTGGTGTTACGGAGGGGAATTCGCGACAGGTGCACAATTATTTAAATACGTGCTTTACGGGTGAGTTCGGGATGCACACTCCAGAGTACTGTAAACGCAAAGGCGTAAACGGTGTGAGCACATGGTTTTACTCCCTTTACTCCGAGAGTGCACTATTGGTTGTCAATGTGATATACCTTTACTAAAAATCTGATTATACTTATTCCTAACAACCGTATAGTTTCTTTCATATTCATATTAGTCAAGGGAAATAAAATATAAGCTTTCTATCTATGAATCAAACAATTATATAATCATCGATTTAAAACACATGAGTTTCACGGAACGGTCAAAATGAGAATTATATTTTAACTCCATCAGTTCCCGAACGCTTTTTGGTACTTTAGGAGTGAAATTAATGCGCAGACTGAACTCACCATACATATTTTGACATTAGTCTATTTCATTCTATCATCAGTATACTGAGACACTCAACCCTTTGCTAACATTGTTATTAGAAAATTGGAAATGTAGGAGCATCCACGGTATTGCCCAGTTCTGTCATCATCGATTTTCATGTATTGGGACCATTGAAGGAAACAAAAATTGGAATTATTAGAGCATCCACTGCATGGCTCAGATTTGTCACCTTGCGATTTTCATAACTTTGGGCCACTAAAGAAAACATTGAAAGCTTGATTCGATTAGGCATTCCAAACCATGTGAACTTCTGACAGTTTTTATTTTTGTTTTCACCCTTAAACTTTGATGTGCTGCTGCGTAGAAAACGATCGTGAAACCTGTTTCGCGAGTGTCAATCACAACGGCGAGATATTTAAGAAGGAACAGGACCGTCTTGATGGAGATTGTCCATGTGCCAAAAATGTATTTTTCTGCATACATATGGACATTATTCTACGCACAGAATACAGAACGAAAAAGTTGGCCATTGTGTTCTACTGAACGAATATAATTTCATATGCACTCTATTAAGAACACTGTACGGATATGAAATACACCAATTGCAGTTCAGTCAGTTACTAATTAGAGACAATACTGGTAAACTAATTTTCAGTATATTTTTTTAGTTATTGAGATTAAATATAATTAAAAATTAGTTATTCTTGTGAAAAATCGATAAATAATAGCATTCCACATGGTATTCATCTATATTTACATATGTATCATAAATTTTAATAAAATTATCTAAAACCGGTTTAATTATAAGTATTAAAAAAAATTAGTTGCCACCTTGGTGCAGAGATATACTATTGATTTGTCATGGGAAGGGCTCGGGGTTCAAGTCAAGGATTGAGAACTAATTAAAATTTAAGTCAATCATAGCGTCTAGGACCAGCCAATGATCTTCATATTAAAAAATGTGATTACTTAAGTCTGATTATATTGCTTAGAAATGGACTAATGTCAGATAACGCTTTTAATACATCGACTGATCCACAAAAATGTTTCTAATGTAGACCTTAAAAAAATTCACGAACCTTCTTTTAAAATGTTAATTTGAATGTAACTCAGGCCGTGCGTAATCATCACGAACATGTATGTCTTTGTCGGTCATGGCCTACTTTAGAAATATTTTTTGTGAACCAATTTTGATTATTCTTTCTTAAATATATAAATACATCTAATTTTCAAAAATTGAAACCGTCATTTACAGCAAGAATGCACGCATTTGGAATAAATAGAAACGTCATTCAAGGGAATACGAGTGTAACTAATTTACTGCAAGGTGGGATCAAAACTATACCACCAACTTTGCCTAAAGCTTCAACGTCTGGAATAAAAGGTAAATATATAAATGTCGGGTATTGTTATTTTTTTTATTATACGTTACTATTTTCGCAAAATTCGATTGGTAAGTAATTGTTTAATTTAAAGTTCTAGAGAACGTTACATTGAACAGTAGCGCTTCAGGCAAACTGATACCAAACAGAACGATCGATTTATCAAAAATAACGTTAATAAATCCATCGAAGACGCCCAGCACTTCAGTTAGTAACGTTTTGCTCTTGCCAGATGGGAAAATCAAGACTATTGGGTCTACTATTAAAGGAACTGGGAATAATCCACTACTTCTACCTTACAGTCCTCAAAAAGGAACACCAAAGACAACCAGTAAGTGGATACGATCGTCTTAACTGCTTTTAGTGAATATTATAGTCGTTTTAAACTATGAAAGAGAGGGGACACAATATGCGTCCGTTTGGCACCAGATGTTAAACGCAGACATAAAGTATATCTTTCTTTTTCTAAGCTTTAGACGGTGGCGTAACCAGAAATTAATTAAATGAAGAATTTATCGGTTTTATGACTATTTCTTTCTGAGAAAATCTAAAAGCTATTAGAAATGAAAATATGTACATAAATTCTGTGAAAATAAATGTACCCCATTTTATAGTAAATCATTATTGTTTATTAAAATTTAGTGGTGGGTCGCTCGGAAATGTCCACAGACATGTCTAAATTAATTTTTCAGATGTGGAAAAGTGTTATGCCCATGGGTGAAATTAAATTAAAAAATTTGGCTGAATTTTACAAACAAATGCAAAATATAGTGTAAAAAAAGAAGAAATGACAACTGACTTTTATATGTTTTAACAGTTTTCTAATGGGTATTTGAGATATTAGGCTCCATATTTAAGATTTGTAATTTTCAAATTTTCGTTTCATATCAAAACGTTAAAAATTTCTAAACATACAATTTTTGGAAGTATTTTAAAAATGCTTATCACACATATACATTTAACGTTTTTATAAATTGCTCTACTAATAAACTACGAGGGTTGCCTTTTAAGTTTTTACTATCGAACAATAGGTGGCGTTAATGAGTTGTTGCACCACTGCATTTGTGAATATTGACGTTTGTTATTGCGAAGCCAGTGGCAATTTAGAAATTGACTGAGTAAGTTGTTGATAGTAAACGTTTAAAAGAAGCAAGTTTGTGCAAAAATGGAAATCACCCGTGAAGGCTTACATTGGATGATTTTAAAAAAAGCCTTACTCAACAACATTGCATAGAATCGCTTCGTGCAACTTTTGGTAATGAAGTACCATCAGAGAAGACTGTTTACATTGGTTTGCAGAATTTCGTCATGGTCGTGCGTCCGTTAGTGAGGAATGTCGAGAAGGTCGCCAAAATCGGTTGTCATTCCGAGAAACATCGATGCTGAGCGCAACATGATTAAAGAAGATCGGCATGTGACTTACAGACATAGGCGTCTCTTAGGATATCGCAGACTGCAATACAATCGATTTTGCATGAACATTTAGGTGTGAGAAAGATATGTTCCAGATGGATTGCGCATAATTTGACCAAGGCGCCAAAAAGGGTCGTGTTGATTGGTGTTCAAAATCCGTATACAACATTGTTACAGGAGACGAAACTTGGTTATATTCGGATGAACCTGAAAGCAAACAAGCGTCTACTGTTTGGGTGTTTAAGGATGAGTCTAATCCCTCTAAAATTGTTCGTTCATAGAGCACTTCCAAGAAAATGATCGTTTGTTTCTTCAGTTGTACTGGAACGTCGCAACCATTTCATTAGAGGATCAAGGAACTGGTATACCGAATGGTATACAACAATTTGTTTGCCAACGGTCTTCAATGAAATAAGGAAAAAGAACAAAAAACGTCGCATCATTATTCATCACGACCATGCCAGCTCCCATAAAGCACGTCAAACAACTGAATATTTGAAGGACAAAAACATCGAATTAATTGCCCGTATTCACCCGATTTATCTCCTAATGACTTTTTCTTGTTCCCCACTGTCAAACAAAAGATGCTCGGACAGCGATTTTGATCACCTCAAGAAGCTGTTGAAGACTTTGAAAACCATGTTTCTACGATATCAGCTTCAGAGTGGAATTTTTTTTTCCAGAATTGGTTTTGAGCATATGCAAAAATATTTAGACCTTAAAAGCGAATATTTTGAAAAGCAATAAAACATGTTTCGAACTTGTTCGTTTCTGTTTCACTTTTTGTAAAAACTTAAAAGGCAACCCTCGTATTTTGTTATTAAAAAATATTTAATATATAAAAATATATAAAAATATTTAATATATAAATCTTAAAATCGTTAGGGCATAAACTAGTGCATAACATACGAAAATATTAGGTTAATAACAGTTGTCATACAAAAGATGAAAACAAAAAAAGTATCCTTTTTTTACCTAAATCTAACAAAATATAAAGACAGACCTGACTATCTTCCATAAGACGGCTCTGACTACCTTACATCTTTATATCAAGTTTTTTTTTCAAGATCGTTGTTCGGACATGATGTCCAAAAATTACTTTGTCGCCAAAAACAATAAAATTATTCTTTGTTTGTAATGCCTCAGCCACTAAACTCTGTTGGGTTATTAAAGGTGAATAGTTTGCAAAGATAAATTTTATAATAATACCACACGATGGTTTTCATGAATCTCAGACTCCGTAAGTAATACTGTCACATGTTGTTAGTCAATCCCTTTATTTGTCATTTGCATCTAAAATTATAATATCACAGATCGAACAATATAAAATAACAATTAGCAATATTTAATTTTTAAATATACATTAGAAAAATATTATTCCAATTTAAATCTCCAGTCAATGTTTTGAAAATAATTTTAAAATAAATCAGCTTTTTTTATTATGATTTACACATCGAACTTGAACTGAAATTGGAACATGCATATTTATTATTAACAACATTTTAATTCAATAAATAATTTTATATACAGGATGTTAATTTAATATTCGAATATAAAAAAAAATGTTCAAATCTGAACAAAGGTCATTGCGATAATATATATTCGGCATTTTTAAGTTTTAGAGAATGAAAATATTAACTGTTTTTGTTCAAATTTTTATAAATTATTCTTTATATTAATATTTTACGATCAAACTTAATATGGTTCTATTGAAATATCAACCCGATTAAAAAATTTGTTATTTACTGTGAAAAAACTCAAAATGCACAAATAATACTTCTCTGGCTCAACAAAAAAAAAATATGACCGATCGACATTTGGTTCACGTAATACATTACGTCTACGCAATACATTACGTCGGTTTGAAATGCGAGTTCCCTCTCTTTTCAGTTTTAAGATAGTCATAATCAATGACAAACAACAACTAGGCTAATCCTTTTATTCCTAAATAAACATTTGTTTACTTGTAAGTATTTAATTTGCGTTTTATGTTAGACCTCGGCTGCCATATTAAAAAGAGCGAGACGTCCACTAAACTGAGTTGAGATGGTTTTATGTTGTCACACTGCAAAGTTAAGGCGTACATTCCTGGAAATTACCTTTAACTGCAATAGTTGCAACCATAAAAAGACACAACGGGTATTAATAATGCCAGTTTACTTCATTAATGTAATTAAGAGCCTTTTGTTAAGTAAATTTCGAATTATAATCACAAACAATCCTTGCACTTAAATTCTCCTGCAATAATTTGGCTATGTGAATGCATACGATTTGTCTAGTAGTTATTCGTCATTGGTCATAATATTCAATGTTAGTTGTATATTATTAGTTCGCATCCTTATTGAATAACCCATTTTTTCAGTGACAACGGGTCCTAAATATATAACTGCCAAACGTCAACTGATGAACCAGAAACCACCAAGACCAATCAAAAAACCCGTTTATATGCCCGCCTCGAATTTAGAACCATCTTTACCTCCACCAACCAATCTAACTACGCAAGACATCATGGATTTGCCTATTATTTTTGCCGATGACAATCAGATACTCAGCACCAATAGCAGTCCGTCGCATAGTTTGCAAACGCCAACAGTTTCTACTAGAGTTTCGACACCGACAAGTGTACAGGTAACATAACATAATATTTTAAAAAATAATCTCCAATCGATATTTCTATTCATATATAACGTAAGGGGTGTTTTATATTTAAAATTCACACCCTATTTGGCATTAAATTCTAAAGTAAGTCAATTTTCCATTTTTTCTGACCATTATTCTACGCTTGTTCGTTAAACCAACCTATACGTTTGAGCTGTTGCTGGTTCAGTTGCTATAAATGTGCGACTGTCAAGAAGCCGTAAACAACTGTACTTGTCGAGTATTTTCACCAGCAATCATATGCGTCAGTTGAATGTATTTTGAAAAAAAGGTGCAAGGCTATATTTAGTAATTTATCGTTTACGGATGACATCTGTAACGGTTGTTTAATTTGTTGTTTATCTCATTTATCACATAAGGATCTATTTACGTTGTACTATGAGAATGTGTGTGAGCTCCGTACAAAATCACTTGATATACTGGCAAATATATCTTCCTGTAATTTCGATGTAATACTGTTTACTGAAACATGGCTAAACAAAAATTTCCACAATTATGAATTCTTTAATTCCAAATACATTGTCTTTCGTAAAGACAGGAACTATGAAACTGTGCACGAAGTGGCAGGGCCTTAATAGCGATTTCCTCTTATATTCAATATACAATCATTGATACTCCTGCCTCGGTGTATTTTAACGATATTGGATTAAAACGAAAATTAACCAATCTAATTTCGTACTGGGGTGCTCGTCATTGGATTGCTACCTTTCTTTTAGCAGGGTATGTGAATTATTTCGAAATATAAAAAACATCAGTTCATCATTTGTAGTGATTTCAATCTTCCACTTGTTGAATGGAGTCTAGAATGGGACATCGTTGTACCTACTAATATACAACCTGCAGCTATTATAGACAATGTGCCTCCTGGATCTAGTATTTGTTGATAACCTTAATTCAGTCTCATGTGTCAAATGTGACTTTCCTCTGTCAAAAACTGATCTGTTACATCCCCGTTTATTTCTTTCTTGTGTCAAAAAACATGTGTCAATGTCAACGTCAATGTTAGTGAACAACGCATTCACAATATTATTGTAAAGCGTATTGCCAAATTCGTACTCAGAAAACGTATTTGAAACAGCAAATATCCTGTTTGGTTCGACGACACACTTAAACCAATATCATCGGAGAAATACAAACTTTACCAAAAATTTAAAAGGACACAAGTACAAGCAGATTACTTAACTTACTCCGATAAACGACGTGAAGTCAAATACAGAACAGATATGTGTTATTTATTTAAAATTCATAACGAACTTTGAACAACTGATCCCTGAGAGTGTAAAGTACTTTTAGTCATTTATTAAAAAGAGACTCTGATCTACCTAACCTGATGAAATACAACAATCTTGAACTAAGTGACCCCTCAGATATAGCCAATGCTTTCGCAAATCATTTTCAAACGTGTTACACAAAAAACACAATACATCTTTTAAAACCGACAATTTGCTTTTGATATTACTAGGCATTTCATTAAATAATTTGCCGGCATTATAAGAAAAGGGTCTCTAATAAAGAGACGTTTTATGTTTATTAAAGACAAAAGATGTCTGCATCATGGTTATGGATGGAAGACCTGACATTTAACTTTTTTAAATATATAATGGGGTTTTACTTTTTAATCTCTAAATAGTATAAAACTAAGTCTGTTTGTTTCTCCGATTACTTACTAAACCACGCAACGTATTTTGATACGATTTTCACTAGTAGAAAAAGTGATAAACGAGGAAGGTTTGTGTATATGTATAATTTGTAAATATTTTGTACAAAATGGCTGAACTATGACGGCGTTTTGTCAAAAAGAAAATCGTGCGCTTACATGGCTAACGCTGGCCAAATCTTAAGAGATACATCAAGACATTGTAGACCTTAAAAAGCCTACAGAAAAGTCCAGGATAGCATGTGTCTATCTCCTAAGATACACTCACAATAACTATTTTTATCTATTACAAATTAGTAAAAAACGATAGGTTATTTACGAAGCTATTTTCTCTAATTTATTATTAATGCTTATTCAGATAAATATTATATTAGTTACCCTGTGCTTTTAAATTTAAAATATGTTAAAATTGTATTTTACACTTTATCATTAAAACACGCTGAATTTGGTTCCTAGAGTGCATCAGTATAATTAAAATGATTTATAATAAGAGATTCACACAGTTGTTTGACATTTTATCATCCACAGACATGGATCAGAAAGATATGAATTTGATAATGTATGAACAACAAAGCTGTAGTAGTGCAGCTTTGACAGCAATATGCCATATTAGTGTTATGCAATTTTGGTTCCACTGAAAGTTAACTTCTAATCAAACTTTTAACAAAACATCGTTGAATTTGACATATACGTTATTACCGTTTTTAGTTTTGTTTCTCTTCTAAATATTAATAGCAGGTCATAAAAAAATAGTTTAAATATTTGTAAATGGTTAGTAAACGATTAACGGACTAGCGGCATATGGCCAAGGTCGTAGGTAGCACCACGTTCAAGAGGTTAGCATCTTTTATCCTCAATCTAGAATCAGTTTGTTGGTGGTTGATCTAGCACGTACAAAAAAGGGACTCTTGATTGTATCTTTGCTTATCTTCTGACATTTGATATTTCAAGGCTTCTAAATATGTTAATATAAATACAGTTAGATTTTAATACAATTAACCGGTAACGATTGAGAACAGTGATCCAAATTGGCTGCAAAATTCTCGATTATAGATATAAATTAATCTTTTTTTTTTAATTCAGATACCAAAGACTGTACAAACCGTTACACCAGCTAAATACATGTTGGTCAACAAGCAGACCATAGGACAAAGAAACTTCATTTTGACGCCGAACATTAAAAGAGGAAGCCCAGTGACATTTAACAAACCAACTCCGAAATATACCAAAATAATTCTGTCCTCGAAGAAAAATAATTTAGAGGAAGTAAAAGCAATGGCGACGACATCAAAAATTCAATGTTTGTCTCCAGAGATAACAGTTAAAAAGGTTAGTTCGTTTAATTTTGAAGCGGAGTGTTTGCTATAACTTTAAAAAATAAATATATTTCTTTTACTGAAGAAAACTACGGGACGCAATAGTTACATTTTCAAAAATAGTCCGCGAGTCGCATCCATAATTGTAATGGGCCGCGAGTTTGACACCCCTATAAATAGTAGGAGTTTGGTCACTTTTTCTCATCCATCGCGTGTGCGTGTGTGTGTGTGCGCGCGCGCGCGCATGGGTGTGTGTGCGTGGGTGTGTGTGTGTGCGTGGGTGTGTGTGTGCGTGGGTGTGTGTGTGCGTGGGTGTGTGTGTGTGCGTGGGTGTGTGCGTGGGTGTGTGCGTGGGTGTGTGTGTGTGTGTGCGTGGGTGTGTGTGTGTGCGTGGGTGTGTGTGTGTGCGTGGGTGTGTGCGTGGGTGTTTGTGTGTGTGTGTGTGTGTGTGTGTGTGTGTGTGTGTGTGTGCGTGGGCGTGTGCGCGTGTGTGCGTGTGTGTGTGTGATTAGATTTTTAGGTTTCCCTTGGCTACGGATTTACCATTAGAATATATTTATTGTATAGCTTTGTATTTTTTAAACCTTAACAGTAGCTACGGCATATAGTTACATGCTCATAGCTTTTTTTCGCTTAGTTAGAAACCTCAATCTAGCCAGACCTTCACCCCTGATACAGGACATGTATTGAGATTTCCTCTTCTTCTTCATCTTCTTCTTTGCAAAATCTGCATAGGGTTGCTCCTTATGCTAGAGTGATGATGCCAAATGAATCGGCTAGTTATAAAACTGTAAAAGTCCAAAATTTGACATTTTAAAGTAAGATAGCCACCTTATTTGAAATTTATCTCTTTATCGATTGAGCTTAAAACCGTACTATATACTTGGCCGTTAACGTAGCACAGCTGATTGCACCCGTGAAATGAGGAGAAAAACCGTGAATCGTACGGTTTTTTATCTCAACAACAAAATAATGGTCAATTGCTATAGTGCGAGATTACAGAAAAAGCAAGCCTGCAATTTTGCAGATCTGCAAATATGACGGACTTGCAGATGTAAGATGCAAGTATCTAATTTTTCGTATTCCTTTTGCAAGGCAAAAAATCCTTACCTTTGATGCATTGGTCTGGAAATTATTCGGGCGCCAGTTTTATTAAAGTGGTTTGCTCCACAACTTTTAATAGAGGGTCAAAAGAACTCGAGTAGCCTAAGATTTCCAGGGGACAAGAGATTATCATACTGTTATTATAAGATGGCAACAATAACAAGGTATATGATTTACTAACTTTTTGTTTATTCATTATGTTAACCCTCCAAAGTTCCTCATTTTTAACTCTACGTCTAATATTTCTGTTGATCTTGAAACTGCAGCTGCATGGTTATAACTATTTGTCAAGTATACAGTTTAGAACCGTCCTTGGTATATTTTTAGACCTTGAGCGGTGCGGGTGATATTTTATTGCACTTTAATTTCAAGTGTGTCAGAGTTGCGGTGTAATTGCCGCAGCGAAAAGTAATTTTTGCTGAATATTTTTCTGTAAAGTTCGCTTACTTTTTTGAACTATGAACGTAAAAGACAGAAGATGTGTTTTTTTTTGAAAAACCTCGCCATGATCCGTATAGAGACACACTTGTGTCACTACCAAAAGATATTTCAACTTTTTTATTAAAATATAAAAACAGCGATGTACTCGTTCGAGATCCACTAAAACCTGTAATTTGTTACATATGTGGGCAACAGAAACGTCTGTTCAATGCCTTCACTGTCAAAATCTCCAGACAATGAAAGAAAACTAGTAACTATTATATTTTTGTATTATAATTTGAATAGTTCAATTTAATTTATTTTCCTTGTTATTTTTAATATTATATTTGTATGTATTGCATTAGTTTAGTTAAGTTTATTTTGGTGTGATTTTTATAAAATTAGTTTAATTTAAACGCAATAAGTTTTATTTCTGCATTTGATTAATTAATAAAAGCCTTTCTGCCAAATACAATTACTTATATTTTAATTTTCAAGCAAAATAAAGCAAAATTTCCAAACGAGGTGTAAATGCCGCGGCACGCCCGGTCTTGAAAGTCTCATTAGCGTGCCTGCCAGAAGGTTAAGGCAAGTCAAAACTCTTGTGCTCATCAAACCTAAAGAAATTTCAAACCCACCTAAAGGGCTAGCAATAACTCGATAGCCATCAACGTTAACACTCAGCTATTACACAGAAGATACTTGGTATAAACAAAATTAAATGCATTAACATTTTTAATCTCATGCGAATTCACTTAAGAGATATAGTTGTATTCACAATTTGGTTGTCTTTTCATTTTATTCTTTCTTCAACATTTTACATTGTAATTTTCTTATAGGCCTGATGATGCTCAACTTTGACCGAAACTAGTTGCTCTTGAATAATTTTAAAATATTGTGGTTGGCTTGAGTTTTCTTTACCTTATTGGACGTAGCACATGTGAGATATGGATAACCATCTTACTCATAATAAAATTGTTTTTGCAGGTAATAAATGCCCAACAAATGCTGAAACCTAGTGCTACTCCTCCGTCCACATCATCACTTGAACTAGTCGATTTAGAGAACGAAATTAAAGCAACGGCCGTACCGAAACCGAATCTCTCTACCTCCGACATTAAAAATATCAAAATCATTCCAAAAAATGCCAATGAATCTTTACAACTAGTTCCTGGAAAGTTTCAAAAACGACCGTCGACTGAAATATTGGACGAGGGCGATCCAGATTACGTACCGCCTAAAAATCTGAAGATGGAGTGATTACTTACCAAAAAAAACTTGTTTAAAATTAGGTTAAAAAAATAGTTCTTAAAGATCTGTTGCAATTACGAAGTTATTTATTGTTTAATTAATGCTGTATTTTTAAAATAAATTTTTTAAACTGAACCTGTTTTTAACTAATAAGCATTATATAGGGCATGTTTAAATATGACCTTCAGTATTTTGAACACTTACGATTTATAAAAACATATACATATTTTTTTTTCGCGTGCAAATTCCAAGTAGAATTAAAATTTCGATCGTGACGCCAACAATCGGTGACCGAGGTTATAAATGAATGTGACACCAAAGTCATGTAAGCCCCCAGCATACATCCAACGTTGAAAGCAGGCATTTCATATGCTCATTAAACCAAAAACAAGCTGTAAATTGTACTAATACGTAGTGATGGGTCGAAAAGTTGACTAGTCCAAACACACTTCAAAAGTGGAAAAGTGTATTGCGCATGCGCGAAATTAAATTAACTAATTCTTCTGAATTTCTTACAAACAAAGGTAAAATTTAGTTTAAAAAAGAAGAAAAGACAAATTTTTACTGACTTTTATAATGTTTTAACGATGTTTTTGAATTTTCGTTTCATATCTTATTAACATAAACTCGTGAAAAAATTAGCAAAAAAATCCAAAGGTTGGAAGTATTTTTTACAAATGATTTGCCTAAAAAAACGAAATTACAAATGCAAATATTGTTCCCAAAATGTTTTTGAAAAAAACATCCAGGATGGAGATTTAACTAGATGTTTCCTATGCTCAAGGTCGACTACTTCATCGTGACTTTATTAATAGTAATAATAATAATAGTTTTTTTATTTTCCAATACAAAATATAAAGAAAAATACAATAGTTACAGTAATTAAGCAAATAAAAGGTCGAGTGATAGGTCATAAGACCAATTCTACCTCACTCTCCTTGAAAAAATAAATAAAATAAAGAGTAAAAATACATAATTCAAAAATACAGTTAAAAGAATAATTAACTAGTGAAAGGAACCTTAATCTATATCAATTAATATTAAAAACCACACAAAACTTAAAATTTAAAATGTGTTCGAGTAGAAAAATTTGTATTTATTTTTAAAGGCTGTTAATCAAAGACTGAAATTTGGTATATCAAGAAGGTGACTGTTCAATGCAATTTGGTAACTAAATGATTTTTGAACATTTGTTTATTATGAGATGGACTAATAATGGCATTCTTTTTCCTTAATATGATGGACGTTGGTCCGAAAACTTATCTTTTAATGTAAGTATGGGGGAATTTTGGTCTTAACTATTTTATAAAATAAACAGAGAATGAAGTTTCCGACGATTAAACATGTTTAGCCAATTCGCCTCTTTCAATTTATAAAAAATTCCCTTCTCCTTATGCCATAGACCATCCTTAAACAACTATTTTGTACTTTCTGAATTCGATTCTAATCAATTAATTCGTAAAAAAGAACCATATACAGTATCGCAATGATTAAGGTGCGATAAAACAAGAGAATCAGTAAGCATTTATTAGTTGCAGTAGACAAATCTGTTCTATGTGGATAAATTAGTTTTCGGAAAAAGTAGGCTTTCCTAACCTTCTCGTTAAATATGTTGACGAACCTAAATTGAGAGAGAGATTTTTACACGATTTACTAATTTTTAAAATTTAATTCCCTAAGGTGACTTGTATTTGTGGCAAGATCAACTGTCGGTGATTTTCATTGCAAAATACAATGACAACATTTTTTTGAGTTGATATGTAATGAGTGTTTTTCAGATGCACTTACAAGAATAGAGAGATCGTCATTAATACGCCTGATCGTCTCTTCAATTTTAAACAGTTCAAAGGAATAATAAATGTGTGTATCATTAGCTTATAAATGGCTCTTACAATGATTTAGATGAGAATGTAGGTAGGAGGTATATAAGGTGTACAGTAATAGGCCAAGAATGCTGCCCTGAGGAACACCCTTTCTAACTAACAATCGATTACAGAAAATGTTATCAAGAACCACCTGTTGAACCCGGTTTGTTAGATACGAAAAGATAATATTGGTCGACGAATGGCTGAAACGTATAAAATGCAAAATTGCAAATGTAACAACCAATTGGCCTAAAGACCATTTGTAACTACTGATAGGTCTTTAGCTACTGTTGTTAATAAACTATTAATGGATTATGGCAGCGCCGTCACCAGCCAAAGGGTCCTGGAGTCCAGAAGGAACATCCATTCACCAGTGGCAAACAAACAAAATAAAAAAATTAAATTAAAAGAATAAAAAGTATCCCTTAATAGCATAGTCGAGCGGTTCTTGGCAACTAATTTTAGACTCTTTTAGTCCTAAGGGAATAGAAACGCCGAGGCTTCTCAAATGCTCGGAGTATTTTACTGGTTTGGAAAGGGAGGGGAGATTAATAATAAGTATTAAAACATTAACAAATGTATATTAACAATTAGTATAAAATTTGACTAATAGTCTTAAGAAAAAATGAATAAAATTCCATTTAGGGAATAAAGCACTATAACTACATAATAATATAAAAATATGCATAATATAAATATAATAATTCGGGACGAAAATGTAAAATTGGCATTTATATGTAAATCAATAAATTATTATTAAACAAAACACTTTAAAATAAGTTAAAAATATTTACCCCATAATTTACAAATCGTACACAAAACTTTAGTCAACACATCACATTGTTTTGGGACTTAGAGAAAGTCCCAAAAAAAACGAGAGCTTTCGCCCCTTGGGCGAAAGTTCTGGACCTTAGTCCGAACTCGACCGAGAGTGCTTACTCGATTATTTGTGTTTCGCATACAATTGTTCTTCCTGTTAGCTTCTTTTTCAATTTTCCAGTGGTCTGTACTTCTGTTCGTCCTGGTATAATTATTTCTTCTTCCATTATGATGTCAGTATTTTGCCTCTCATGCTGTCTTTGCTCTGTAGTTTTTTATGGATATCGTTTATTTCTTCTTTTTCTTCCTCTGGCTCTTTCGTGATTTTTTTCGTAGGTTTTTGTTGTTTTCTCATGATTTCTTCAACTTTTCTCAACCATTGTTCCCATGCTTCCGGTTTTTCATATGTTGTCCTGTGGTCCGTTTCTCTTGTTTGGTTGGGTGCTTGCTTTCTTATTGGATTTTCCTCTTTGCATCGCTCTTTTTTTCCCTCATAACTTGATATACCGTTTGTTTCCATTCTCTCCAGTCTGAATTTAATTCTTCGGATTCGGAGTCCTGTCTTATCTGACTTACATTGCTGGGACATCTTCGCACTTCTTCGTCTCCTACACGTGGTTTGTATTATTGCCTTCTTATTGCTGCCTCTACTTCGCTTGCTTTAAGTAACTTCAGCTTTTGACCCCAAATATATAATGCTGGCTCGTCCTCGTATGTTATCACTGCCTCTTCTCTTCCCAAAAAGTCTCTTCCCAGTAGTACTGCTATTTCCCCCATGGTTTTGTCCTCGCAAGCTATTATCTCGGTCCTATGTTCATTTACCATTGCATCTGTCGATAATTTGATTTGTACGGATCCGTACAATTTTATTGTATGCCCAGTAATTCCTTGTAACGTCAAGTTGTCTGTCACATCTGTATGCATGTCTCTGTGTGACACTAGTGAAAACTTAATTAAGGAAAAGGCACCTCCTGTATCGATCATACATGGCCTCTTTGTACCATTGACCATTAGTATTACAATATACGGGGATTCGCCGAAAATTTCCCTTGTCGATTCATTGTGATACAGTCTCACTGTATGCTGCATTTGTTTATCGTTTGTGAATCGTCCTTCTTCCTGAAAATTTGCCCTTGTCGTTTGTTGTGGGGTTCGATTGTTTTGTCGGACCCATCTATCTGGTTCTGCTTGCTCATTTTGTCTCCCCTGCCATCCTGAAAAACCACTTGATCGGGGAGTTACAGTGGTTTTTATTAGTTTAAATGATCGGAACTATAGTTGATGCTTTCCCGTCTTCCTTCTTGTTGATTACCTTGTTCCGGAATTTTGTTATCTCTGGAATTTCTGGTATCTCTGGACTCTCTCGAATCTCTGGAATAACTGGAATCTCTGGTAACACTTGAATCTCTGGCAAAACTGAAATCTCTTGAATCTCTGAAATCTCTGTAATAACTGGCATCTCTGAAATATCTGGCTTCTCTGACATCTCTGGACCCACTTGAATCTCTAGCAACACTGTAATCTCTTGAATATCTAAAATCTCTGGAATCTTTGCCTCTGTTTCCTCTGTATTCATCCATATCGTATCCTAGATTTCTTCCTTGTGGCGCTCCCCAAAAGTACATCTGTGTGCGGTTCATTCCCTCCTGGTATGCGTTGTTCCTTCGTTATTCATATCTGTATTCATTGTTGTGTCTCCTGTGGGACCCTCTTGGGCGTTGTTCCAGTTCATCGGTTGAAACTTATGTTTTTCTGCCATTTGTTCCTATTTTCTTCCGCTGCCTTGCTTCTGCAGTCTCTAACCCAGTGTCCACTTTTTCCGCAATAAAAACAGGATCTGTCTCCTGTTCTTCCCATATTGTCCCGGATTTTACTTCCACATTCTGCTTCTATGTGTCCTTGTTTTCTGCAATAAATACTACCCTATGGCTGTTACTTCTTCCTGATACAAGTAACATTGTTGTTTCCTGTAGTGAAACTATTTCTTCTGCTTTCTCCAGGTCCAAATCATCTTCTTTTAGTAGCAGAACTCATGTTTCCTTTAGTAGATCCTTCCTTATTTAAATTGGTTTAGTAGTAGATCCTTGTTTATCTTCTTTATTCCAGCCACTTCGTCTGGTAGTGCCCCATTTACATCGTCTTCTAGCGCCTGGTTCCCTAATAACATCAATCTTGTGCAGAAACTGGAGACGTTGTCATGTCGTTGGTAACAGTTGCTTAGCTTCAGCAAACTATCTCCTGGTAACCTTTTCGCTGAAAATTTACTGATTAATCGTATTTTTAAATCCTTAAAATCTAATAAATCTAAACTAGGTTCTGATTTAAAAAAATCGTATGCTACTGTATGATACTTTCTTAAAACCTTATCTCTGAATTTTTGTAGTAGTTTGATATTGTCTGTAACCCAAGGTTGTTTTTTATTGTTGTGTAAAATAGTGCGAGTTTGAAGAGGTGCAAACTCATTAACTAAATTTAAAATTGTTTTATTAAAATAGCATAATTTAACATCAATATTATCTATGTATATAATTTGTCTCCAATCTTGTGCCTCCAGCGCTCGTCGAAAAATATTTAAATCTATATTATAGAGTTTCCTAAAAGTTACCTTTTCTAAACACGCTTTTTCTAAATACGTTCCAAATTTACACCAAACCAGGGAATGTCTACCTATATTTACATCGGTTGCATCACAAAAGTCCACATCGAAGTTTGTATAGATATATGATCTATTAGAGTCATGCTACTATTAGAAAAATGAGTAGGATCAGAAACAATTTGATTTAACTGAAAAGTATCTGCAACAGATATTAGATCATTAAGATTTTGAGATTGAAGTTTTAAATTATCGACATAAAATCGCCAAGACACATTTTATCGACTTCCGGGTAAACATGAATCAAGGCATTTTCAAAATGAATGAGAAAAGACTGGTAAATATCATTAGTGTGATTAGGAGGCCTGTAAACTACACCTAATCCATATTTTACATTATTTGTTTTGAATAGTATCCAAATTTGTTCAGTAGACTCAAAATTCTCTATAAGTAAAACCTTGTATTCAATTGATTTTTTTAAATATATTGCCACACCACCTCCTCGTTTAGTAGATATATCATTTTTAATCAAGTTGTAACCTTTTCATTTAACTAGTTCATCATCAATTCTATTATGTAACCAAGTTTCAGATATACAAAAAATATCAAAATTTTTAGACGTAACCAAATTTTTAATATTGTTAATTTTTGGGAGAAAGCGAACATACATTTAAATGTCCTACAATGAAGGCCATTGACCAAAATAATAATAGAAAAACCACCTAATAAAATATATCCTAAAAAAAAAAGAGTATAAACGCTCAGAAAACTGAAGCTAAAAACTTTTAAAAGTATGAAAGATAAATAAATGTATAAGCAAAGATTTAAGCTAACGCGACAAAATTCTGTAACTAAACCTTAAGAAGCTAGAAGATTTCTAAAGTTTTGTTGAAGTTGAGCGTGTGGTCTTCTTAACTACAGGCACTTGATGAAGTTTACCCAATTTATCCAACTTTGAATTGGTCACTTTTGGTGAGTTGCCAGCGACGGTAAGCTTTTCTTGCTTCGGAGGTTTATCTTCCGACTGTGTGTCAAAGAGGATATTCCTTAAGTTGTTTGTACTGAGCTCTTTGAAGTTCAGTTAAATCATCTGCCACAAAAACTCCTGCATTCTTTAATTTATTGGAATTGAGAAAAACTTCTTTTTTTGAGATAGCTACAAAATTCAATTTTTAGAGGAGCGTTGAGGTCTTTTCCAGAGAATAAAAGTTGGCAATATCCGAATCAATTAAACTTATGTCAAAAAGCTTATTAATTATATCGATGATAAAATTTATGTTTATGGTATTATTGGGTTTTTAAGACCAAATATAATTATGTCGTTTCTTTTTAGAGTTATTTCCAACTGTTCAACTTTATTTTTTAATTTGAAATTTTCTTCTTACATATCTCTTACTTTTTTTACTTTCTATAGCTCAATAGATGACTGTAATCTCGTTTCGCAGGAACTTAATGCATTCTTAAGCTCAGTTTTGTTGCTCTTCATTCTATAAGCTTTTTTGAATTTTCTTTGAGTAGTTTTTTGATAACTGCCTTCGTCATGATTTAATTAAAGTTCAACAATAAATTTGTGTAAACATAATTTTCACTACTTTTCCGGGCATGTCCGTCGGATTAGTCAAAAATTACTTTTCATGAAAAGTCCCATCTCTACTAATACTACATACTGAATAGTTATTATTTGTCAAAAGTTTTTACTCATATATTGAATAAGCATTTTAAATTGTTCTGAAGCTGCGTCTTCGTGTCTCCATCAACCTTTTATGAGAACAAAAGGGCTCATCATAGCTCAAATCTAGAAAAATATAAATATAATAATAGTGACTTTATTGCTTTCAATACATAAAAGTATACAGTAGAGATATACATAGATAATGAAAAGCAAAGGGTGACGTTCGCTCTTACTGGCAAGCTCAAAGATTCAGCCAGCAAGTAAGCAGCGCTCTTCCTCATTTCCTGAACCACAAATAATAATAATAATAATGAATTTATTTACACCAATTTACAAAATATAATAATACAATCTTGAGTTATAAATAAATGAAAAAAAAAAATCGATAAGTCAATTTTTCACTTGTTTCGATACAATTACAGAAACAATAAAATAGAAAAACTTACAATAAATGAACATAAATACAAAAAAATTATAGATAATAAAAGATCAAAAAGTGTTATTATAGCTTAATATGTATATACCTTAGACTAGGTTATAAAGAAAGGACGCGTAACTAGTATATCGAGCACACATAGCATTATGTGCCGATTATCTAGTGGCCGCCATTATTTTGGTGCTTAGCATTTCGGTGACACCAAAGTTTTTGCTCGTGTTTATTTCTGATTTTTGAATTAAACGACATTTAATAATTGGTTTTTGTTACAATGGTTTATTGTGTGGCATATCAGTGTAAAAGTTATAGCGGTAAGAAAGAAGCAGATATTACCTTTCACAGGTAAATGATAAACATCAATCGTTTTTATTTTATACATTTTCTTATATTTTTTCATTTTATTTGGTGTTATACAACTTGGTATTTACATATTGTACATGTCTCACTCCAGAGTAATAAATTTTACCCACCAAGTTTATTTTATGTTTTTCATTGATATTTAAGCAATTAATGATATTAAAATTGCCAAACAAGTAATTTTTTCCAGTGGCGTGTCGTACAATTCTAAATATTAACTTTTATTAAATTCTAATTTACTTTTGCTTTTTGTTTAATTGCAGCAATGTTTATTTGTTGTTTTATTTTAGATTTCTTGTGTATCCAGCAAAAAAATCTTTAAAGAATTTAGTAACCTTTTTGTGTATAATTCAAAACATTACCGTAATAATTGATTGTTTGGAGGACTTAAAAAGAAGAGCATTGCATTTAGAAGCTGAGCCAGGCTCTTCAAATACAGAAAAGGTAAATCAAACGAGGGTGGTCCTTAGGATCTCACAAGAGTATTTTTATTACGACCGGTTTCGAGGATCAGATCCTCATCATCAGGTAAGGTCTAAAATAGAGAGGAAAAACGAATGAGCTCATAACTAATAAAGCGGGTTTAAACATTTTAATATGAAAGTTGTCAAATATCAAGAACTCACCCGTAATTACTCATCTATTTAAGACTAAGTTAAGAGAATTATCCCAGGGTCGGTGTAAAAACAAGTATGCGAGTATTTTTATTCTGTCTCCATTTTCATTTTTCAGCACATTACTTCAAAAAACAACTAACCAAATCAATAGTTTTTTCTTCTTTTCATTTTAACACCATTTCCTTTTTCCGTTGATTGTTACCAACTTCTTAATTTGAATATTAGTACATCTAAAATTATTTTCCAACGCTAATGCTAGACTCTACTTTTAACATTAATAATTTATTTATTTCATTTTGTTTATTATTACGTACAAATTCAAACAATTCATTTTATAAACCTATATTATTATTAAGAAACATTTATTTTTTTGCCAACGCCATCTATTAGCCGATGGTCAAAATATTTAAATTTGACAACCTCTAAACTGTTATCTTAAATATTAGAATGGTTAATTCGTCTATTTATACCTAGAGGGCGTTAATCAGTATATTTAATCTAAATAAAATTTAATTCCTGTAGAATTATAAACACTTGCCCAAGAACCCATTTTAGTGCTTGTAGGGTTTAAAAAGTTTTTAAATTTGTTTGTCTTAATTGTTCGTCCGTTCGTGAAATATTTTAATAATTTTTTTAATTAATAGTTTTAGACCTACTTTTGTTTATGTGTTTTTGACATCAACTTTTTGTTGCAACTATTGTTTTTTATGTATTTTAAAAAATACTCGCATACTTGTTTTTACACCAACCCTGGGATAATTCTCTTAACTTAGTCTTAAATAGATGAGTAATTACGGGTGAGTTCTTGATATTTGACAACTTTCATATTAAAATGTTTAAACCCACTTTATTAGTTATGAGCTCATTCGTTTTTCCTCTCTATTTTAGACCTTACCTGATGATGAGGATCTGATCCTCGAAACCGGTCGTAATAAAAATACTCTTGTGAGATCCTAAGGACCACCCTCGTTTGATTTACCTTTTCTGAACTTATAACTCACACATGGCTACCACCTTCAACTTTAATCTTCAAATACAACTGCACATAAGAAATCTATTCCAGAAAGCTCTAGCATAAAACGGTTTGGAAGACAACTTTTACAAGTAGAAAAGAATAAAGAAAAAACAAGACAAATCAAAGTTCTTAAACAAAAACTTAAAAGATATAAAAAAAGTTATTTCGCTAAAACTTCTTGTTAAAGAGTTAAATTATAAAAATTTAATTTCCTCTGAAAACATGCTAGTGTTTGACAATATGCCTAATATTGTTAAAGAATTGCAAAAGCAAAAAAAAAGTAAATATTCACCTGATTTGCGTAAGTTTGCTATAACTTTAACAGCCGGTTGCAAGAACGATCGTTAAATATTTAGACTCATTAACACTAATGATCCACTAAAAATGCATTCCGATTCTCGATAGCTATTGCCCAACGGTAAATGCCCGGGTTAATTATAACTATAAAATGTACATTTAAATCTGTTAAAATCTTAATTACAAGAAAACACTATACACAGCTGGGCAGTACAAGTGTACTCAAAAGAGTACTCAAAGTAACTCAAAATTGTAAATAAGTACTCAAAGTTTTCAGTAATAGGTACTCCTGAGTACCTTTATCCTGATGGGACTCAGTACTTGAAAAATTTTGAGTTCCCTATATTTTAGAGTACTCAGTACTTCTGATTCCTACAGCCGAGTACGAATATCGACGCGCCCAGGCAAGCCTCGGCTTGTTTGTTGTATTTTACTCACAGAACTACACTGCTTACTATTATTATTTATGTTTTGCCAGACAGTTTGTACAGTGCATATTATGTGTAGTGTGGGTTAGGATTACGAAAGGTCCGTGAAGTTAGCACCGCCAAATCCGAATTTTTATAAAAATAAATTGCCATTCGTTTGTCCACGATTGTCCAACAAAAATTTTCGTTTGTCCACCCTTCAAAAAAAAGTTATAGCAAATTTAAAAATTTGAGCCAAATTTTACAGCACCGCCATAAAAGCTTTCCACCTCCAAAACCGAGATATTTACAAAAATAAAAAAAGAATGCAGGTGGTCTTTGGGGACAACTTTAATACATTTCATACGAATTAGACACAACAATCGTTTGTCCACACATTATTTTCGTTTGTCCAGGCCCAATTTTTGTTTATCCACCCTTAAAAACAAATTATAGCATATTTAAAAATTTTAGTCAAATTTCACAGCACCGCCATAAAAACTTTTTGATAATTTTTATGTGACATTCGATTGTCCACGTTTGTCCAACCAAAATTTTCGTTTGTCCACCCCCCAAAACCGGGATATTTAAAAAATAAAAGAAATAATGCAGGTGGTCTTTGGGGACAACCTTACTTCATTTCATACGAATTAAACATGACAATCGTTTGTCCACACATTATTTTCGTTTGTCCAAGCCAAATTTTTGTTTGTCCACCCTTCAAAACAAAATTATAGTATATTTAAAAAAATTGAGCCAAATTTCACAGCACCGCCATAAAAACTTTTTGATAATTTCCATGTGGCATTCGATTGTCCACGATTTGTCCACGTTTGTCCAACCAAAATTTTCGTTTGTCCACCCCCCAAAACCGTGATATTTAAAAAAAAAAGAAAGAAAGAATGCAGGTGGTCTTTGGGGACAACCTTACTTCATTTCATACGAATTAAACATGACAATCGTTTGTCCACACATTATTTTCGTTTGTCCACACCCCCAAAACCGACGTATTTACAAAAATAAAAAAATAATGCAGGTGGTCTTTGGGGACAACCTACTTCATTTCATACAAATTCAACATAACAATCGTTTGTCCACACATTATTTTCGTTTGTCCAAGCCAAATGTTTGTTTGTTCACCCTTCAAAACAAAATCATAGCATATTTAAAAATTTGAGCCAAATTTCACAGCACCGCCATAAAAGCTTTTTGATAATTTTAAAGTGGTATTCGATTGTCCACGATTAGTCCAAGTTTGTTCAACCAACATTTACGTTTGTCCACTCCCCAAAATCGGGATATTTAAAAAAT